ATATGACTCTGGATATTGTATATATTCCTGGCATCCAAGTGAAGACACTATTATTATTATTATTATTTTATTATTATTATTATTATTATTATTATTATTATTACATCGTTATTCAATATGTCTCGTTCGTCCGGAGTTTTTCGTCCGGAGTCATATGTCTAGTTCGTCCGGACTAAAATCATTTAGTTCAGCATTCAAGCAACGAATTCGATTTTTCAGTTGCATTAACAATGGAGGTTGTGGCCTGCAAAATAGTTTCTTAACATCTCCCTTCTCTCTCACCAAACAAAACAGGAGCTCGGGAATACGTGGGCAGATTTCGTGATTCGTTTTTTCAAATGTACACCCATGAGTGCAATATACGCTTTACTAAGACAGTCATGTTTGATTCCTATACCTTTACAAAATTAACTCGTCAATGTTCGTTATACAATAAACCTTTTTAGAGAATTGATTGAACGCGCACATGGATTGGAATTCAACTAATTGTCATTCGACATTTAAAACAAATGTTAATGTAGGACATTTAATATATAACCACTTTATAAACAAATATTTGAGAGCGTCTGACAACTACAGAATGTTATGAATCATTTAAGTTGTATTATAAGTTTGTTTTATTTATGTAATACCTGTATAAATAATTCTAGGAATTTAAGAATTCCTCGAGTTCCTTGAATACCAGAAACGTCACATTCCTGTGATGATGCACTCAATACAAATACTTCGCAAAATGAAGCTTTGTTGAAAACTAATGCGATATATACCAACAATTTCACACTTAATTTGTCATTCAAATGTTTCAATAATAGGGTTCAGTTGTTTATGTTCCGTTTGTTTGGTTGGGCTTCTTAAGACCACACACTACATTCTCATGATTCATTTCAAAAGTCTCCAGGTGTAGACATTACAATAAGCCGAATAATTTATTACGTTAAAATGTTATTTGTAAATTACACCATAAAAAATGGGTGATTGGGCAGATTATTCGTAATATCCCAGTTGTATACTAGTACTTGGCAGCGGCGTCATACAAAACCACATTCTAATAACATATAACGTTTGTCTAGATTGTGATGAAAAGAACTCTACGTTACCAAGGAAATACGGTATGTAATCATATTGAAACTTTTCCGAGACGCGAAGGAATGAGAGAGATGTATCTATAGATCGGCCCCATCGGCATTCCTTACTTAGGATTCATTTCAAAAGTCTCCAGGTCAGTGGCATACCGTCGAGGCCCGCCATGCGGGCGGGCCGGGGTAATAGAGGGCCCCTTTTTAGGGGATATTTCTATTATTTAAGGTACTAACACTACTTGTCGCGCCAGGAAACAGGAAATTTTCAGTCAATAAATCACTCGACAACACCTGATTACATGACAAGTGCAAGTGAGTATAGATTACGCAACAGAGCACGTAGCGCCTTATGTCGTAACGTCTTATTTTACGTGGCGAGACTCAGGCCATTAGGCCCGCTCTTCCATCTGACCACGCAAATGTCGTTATGCTCCTTTCACCAACTAGCAGAGGAAGGAGGTATTTCTTGGGCGAGAAACAGGCGATTTAAATTTAGCTCAGACGTGTCATTTAGACTTGAGGATCTTTTACATGCAAGTAATCTATAACATGGGACAGCCGGCTTTACTTCCCCTCCGAAGGAAGGCGTACGAAGAAGGGCGTACGAAGAAAGGCGTACGAAGGAAGGCGTACGAAGAAAGGCGTACGAAGAAAGGCGTACGAAGGAAGGCGCACGAAGGAAGGCGTACCAAGGAAGGCGTACGAAGGAAGGCGTACGAAGGAAGGCGTACAAAGGAAGGCGTACAAAGGAAGGCGTACAAAGAAAGGGGTACGAAGGAAAGCGTACAAAGGAAGGCGCACGAAGGAAGGCGCACGAAGGATTTTTACAAATCCACAGCTTCGATCGGGTTTGAACCCGCCAACTTGGGTACAACGGTCCGAAACGCTAACCGTTACACCATCGGTTGGTTGGGCGTCGGTGCAACACCGCGGTGTCGTCCGTTGAACGTAGTCGTCGGTTCGCTTGCAATGGGCGCGCGGCGCGAGCCACCCAGGCGGCGGCGGCGGCGGCGGCGGCGGGGGCGGGGGCGTCGGGCGTCGCGTCGCACTCGTCCGTCCAAGCGGCGCGCTCGCGCCGGCGGAAGGGCGGGCCAGGGGGGGCGCGTGAGTTGTTGGCGCCGATAGCATTTCCGCGGGGCTCCGCACCTACCCCACCCTTGCTTCTCGCGCGCCCGCTGCGCCGATTTAGCCGCGCCCCCGCCTGCCGCCCCGCCCGCCTCGCCGCCCCCGCGCGAGCAAACGTAAATCTGAAAACCGGAGGCGCGACGCGGGTCCCGGGGACGCCGGTGGGACGGAATGGACGGGACCGGGCGGGAGCGGCGGGACCGCGGACGGTCTCGGCGGGTGGCCGCCACTCACTCGGCCTCGTCAACGCAAGTCAGCGCCGCCGTCGCCAGCCGCCCACGTGGGCCCTGCCGCCTTCCTCGGCAATTCCAGATTCCGGAATGCACAGCTCACGTTGCCGACTTCGGTTGTCGCTCCGGGTATGCGTATTTACAACGTTATTAAACAACCCAAATAATTATAACAATATTGTCATAATTCACATATAAATTAAATTATCATTAAAATTACGATTGCAATAATTAAATACGATAATTTCAGTATATATAGTGGCATAACCAATAATTTAGGTATGTGCTCATTTTGGATGAGGTAAAAATGACATGACTTATGTGTCCGTCCTCAACTTATTAACATCATGAAACTCGTAAGTTGGAGACTTGCTTACTCCCCTGGGGGTGCGCGGTTCCTCCTCCTACGCTGGAATGCGCATATATGGGAGATAATAACCGGAACTGCTTGTTGTATGCGGCGTTTCCCTATACAGGATCCCCAGCGGAGACACCTCGCAGGCGGGCGCAACCTCTAAACTCTTTACTTCACACTTAAAGGTAGGTCACTCTTGTAAGTGTAAATCATTTTGTGTCGTGGCACGTGTCCAAAATTACCCCTCCGGACTGACCCATTATTTTCAAGTTACATGTGTTAAGAGTACAGTAAGCCCTTCACGGCGAAAGTGTAGGAAAATGTGTTACTCGACAAATGTAATGGTACCAGTCTATCTGCTACTCGAATGTTTTTACGAGTTGAATGTAGTACTTCCTATACTTGCAAAAATGTTCATTTCGATGTGTTCAATCTTTTTGATATTATTCTGAAATGGAACTCCTGTACTAAATGTCGCAATGTTACATTGCATCCAGTATGATTAAATAGTTTTTTCTAGGACTTTTTGTTGTGAGAACAATAATTAGAAATGGAAGAATAGCAAGCTTACCCAACACATAAAGCAGAACACAATCCTCGTATTAGATTCACTTGTGACAAACTAAAATATGAATTCCGAGCGTGATCCTAAATCTGGCTTCTCTTTCAGCATACGAAAACATATCCTTACAACACAAATCGTGTACAGGATTTACAAAAAATTTCGACGGATGGCTAACTATATGATACTACTACAACGCGTACAAACACGTTTAGCAAGCAATTCGTTGGGAGGCATAAAGACGATTGTGACTAAATATCCGTCGCGCCTGGATATTATCAAGAGAGGCGAAGAGGCAATAACAGGTCCGTTTCCGGGCCCTCGCGGGCCGTGCTGGGGCGTGGCCGCGCAGCAGCGCCCGGCCCCCCGCGGCCAGAGCGTGCACTAAATCTGAAACAATGCGGACCGGCGGGTGGCTGCTGCGCTAAACACCGTTTCGTCACGAATCTCTTCGTCCGCGCGCGCGCGCGCCGCCTGCCCGCTCCGCCCGCCCGCCCCGTCCCCGCGCCACACGCCCCAGCCCCGCTTCCCCGCCGGCCCCGTCCCGCCCGCCCCGCCCCGCCCGTCCGCCCGCCCGCCCCGCCCCGCCACCCGCCCCCACCCCGCCCGCCCCGCAACCCACCCGCCCCGCTCCGCGCCTCACCGCCCTCTCCCCCTCCCCCGCCACGTCAACGGTCACTGTCTCCGCTCGCACCCCGCCTCCACACTCGCCCTTATCTCCAGCTATCGCGCCTCCACCTCCATCCACGCCTGTTCTCTCCTGCCTGTTCGCTCGTTTGCCCCCGACCGCTCCTCGTACGACCCGCCCTAGACCGCGACGCTCTTCTGCTTTTTCTCTTCACTCGTTTTCCACCTCCCACGAAGCTGTCGGTTGTCACTTCCTTTCCTCGTCATGCACATCTTTCTACTTCCCTTTTCATTAATTTGCTTTCCTCTTCTTCCGCTATATTCTACCTTTTCATTCAATTCTACCCTCTCTCTCTCTCTCTCTCTCTCTCTCTCTCTCTGACGTCCTCTTTCTCCATCCTTTCGTTTCATCTTTCTCTGTGGTTTTGGTCTTTCCTTCAGGTTTTTATTTTTTTCTCTCTATTTGTTTCTTTGCTTCTTCCATGCCAGTCCTCCTTTATGCTCCCATACTCTCATCTGCGACTTCCATTCATTTTACGTACCTATTCATCTCATCTTAATGCATTCCTATAATTAAGTTGGAGGCGTAAATGATAAAAGTTATTGTGATTATTATTATTATTATTATTATTATTATTATTATTATTATTATTATTATTATTATTATTATAGAATTATCACTGACTGATGTCACAGATTTTCTTGCGAATTCTGGATTCCAACAGACTTCAACCTTTCACCTTTCCTTTTTATTTGTCCGCCCCTCCCCACTTCCGATTCAGCTAGTCTCCATTTCTCTCTTTTCAGACATTCAAAAAGTTCAAACACCCATCACGAAATACGGTTTATGCTGCGTTGGTATAAATAACTACACAATGAAATTCTGTATTTCATATGATCGACTCTTAAGTTCTGTCTCAAAGTGACCTCCATTTTCTGGAACTAGTCGTTTATTACAGTTACTGCGGAGGAAATATGGGCCGTGGAGTATATTAATCAGTCGTGGGATACAAGGTAGGAGCTCACGGGGCCCGAGAATCATCCACAATCCTGAAGATCTAGAGATTCCAAAAAAACGTTTAAAATCGCTGGCTTCGCTCCGCTTAGTGGTGCATTCCTAGAACGCGCGCTTCCTTCACAGCCTGTCCAAACAGAGGAATTCAACTTCGGAAAACAGCAGAAAACATCTCTTCGCTAAGCTCTTCCACCAAAAACAGTTATTTAAGCTGTCTACATTTCGATGTCGTAGGCTTCCGCGGCCAGAGTCATGTGCGTGATCTGGGTGCTATTCCAGATCATACCAGCCCTGAGGAAGACCGCGACAAGATGGTCGAAACGTCGGCAACACAGCCTTCGACGCGGCGTCACCCAGACAGCTCAGATCACGCACTGTCTGCATTTCACTCTCACGTTCTGACGGTCTGCTTACGGTCTCGCTTCTCACGGTCTGCTTACGGCATGAAGGCAAACGCTAGTAATTATGGGGCACAGATGAAGCTTGATATTTCCCAGTTTCTCTAAGGAGAACGCCATACTTTTAAATGTGTACTTTTCCTTACATTGGTATTTATTAACTTATTTATATTTGGGTAACAGGTAGTAACGTGCCATCGTGTCACTATGCGCAGAACCACACATGACTTTTATTCAAACAAATATGCAATAGGTTTCCTTCTAGCTAACTAACCTGCTGGAATATTCAATCTAGATGACCATCAGAGACCTACGATTCTCATTTGCCGCTTCATCTCCCACTACCTAGACAAGTATGGCCAGACACACACAACAAATGGCATTGCGTGAAGGGAGACGGGGAAAACGGCATTTGTCTACTGAAGAAGAAAGGATCGAAGAAATCGAAGAAAAGATCGATAGAATAACAAACTTTATAGAAATAAGTACGGTGGTGGTTTCTTTAGGGGGAGAGGAGAAGGGAGGAAAGTTCTCACATATTTCGTGATTCTGAACGCAATTACCAAATAAAACATGTTTTATTGTACGAGTATCTTTCGTTGATAGTTATGATGAATTTCATTCCCTTGATGGAGTTTTAAACTATGAGAAAACTCAATGAGAAGAAACTGACAGCCTGTTTCGTTCGTGTGTTAGTAGTCCCTATCTCCCAATTCTCCTGCAATGAGAAGGGGAAAACTTTATGAATTGAAGTCTGCAGTTCAAGGGAGGATTTCCTCTATTGAAATCACATCCACATGCGTCTCTTTCAACTACATTTATTGATTCATGGACCATGAGCATGTCACACGTCAAGAGCGAGTCCGGACGTGGACAAGGCAGCGGGCGCACGGCAAAAATACACACGAACAGGTGGACAGATAAATCGAACCGATAGACCATTTTCTCTTATCCCATCGCAAGTCAACTCTTATAACAGATTTTATTGTATTTTTCATTTCAGGAAAATAGGTTATTTTCTTCTTTGTTTTCCTCCCCTTCGAAAAAAAGCCCGAACCGCTACTAATAAAATACATTCTTCTTAAATGTCGAGTCGTTTCGCGAGTAGAAAGTCAAGAGCTGCATATCCCGCTCTTCTAATTTTTCGTGAGGGGAGACACACTTTACTCATCCTAAATTCATGCAGTACTACTGCATGGATCGCTTATCCGTTGGAGTGTTCGAACACCAAATGTATTTGGAGTATAAGAGTGGCAGCTCGTGCCGACAAGGTTGGTGATTATTACAAAGAAGAACCATGACAACGAAATCATGCCAAACTCGACGTCTTCGAGAGTAAAATTCGGTACGTTGAAAGCCAGTGCACGTACGATATACCCTTATCACATTATTTTGTAAAACACCAAAAATTTAAAATTTCATGCTTTTAGTAATTTTATCAACGATTACATAATAAAAATTTGCTATTGTGTTGAAGGACCCTTGAGTTAACCTAGGAGCAAACCATTTCAGCATTTATTACCACTTGGACCAGGCTATACCCTCTACCGCCTTCCTCCGCCCTCCCTCTCCTAGTTCAGCCAGCGGCGACCCGCCTTTCGGGAACCGGGAGTAACGAGGCGTTACTCTCTCGTCCCACGTGTCGTTTCCCGATTTAAGCAATGTAACCACGCCTAACGAGCCAGCCCGCCGCCGCGCCGCGCCGTGGCATGTGCTGCGCTCGTTTACCGCCACCTCCCGCCGCCTGGGCCTCGTAGCTCATCCCTCCGGCAGGGGGCCTGTGGAAGGCCACGGAAAGACACCCGTCCAACGGCGCAAATCGTCGGGACACAAGAAGAAGGACATTTCGAAAAAAATATAGGTTCGTGGGAGAACGGGTTTCATTCTCAGCGGAGCAGAGTACTTCGAGGCCAAATACTTGAGCATTTTAGCACCTGTCATGTGAATTTTTTTTTCTCTCTCTCATTGTAATTTAGTACTTACTGGTCACTTGTTTAAAGGTTCGATAGTTCGGACATGTCTATTTTGTCTTTTTAACGCATTCACAATTTCACTTTCGGTGGTTTCTGTTTTAAAAATTGTAACTTCTTGTTCTAACAAGTTACTTCGCTGAAGAATTTTTGTAAATAATTAATAATGAAAAGTATATATTTTGAATAGTAGGTTCAGCTCGAGAATCTAACTTTATAAGTAAAGGTAAGCTTCTGTCAACTTTATGATTATAATAATATGTAAATAATGTATAAAAACATGTACTGTAACAATTCATGGTTAAACAGATGTCTGATGATGGCTAGAGGTAGCAGAAACGTCACATCATAAATGTAACTTAACAACTGCAAGAAGAGAGTTTGCAGAAAAAAATACGCTTAAATTTCCACCATCGAACTTTATTCTTACAATACGACAGCGACAACGAAACGGCCAACTACAAAAAACGTTACCGGCTACCGACGAAAGGAAAAGAGGGAGTTCGGATTGGAGAGTTGTGATAGGTGAGGAGAAAGAGAAAAAGGGAGATGAAGAGGCCCAAAGCCTTCCAAAGGAGAAACGACCTATAGGTGAAATATTTGAAAGGAGAGACGAAGGAAGAGACGAAGGAAGAGACGAAGGAAGAGACGAAGGAAGAGACGAAGGAAGAGACGAAGGAAGAGACGGAGGAAGAGACGAAGGAAGAGACGAAGGAAGAGACGGAGGAAGAGACGGAGGAAGAGACGGAGGAAGAGACGGAGGAAGAGACGGAGGAAGAGACGAAGGAAGAGGCCAAAGAAGAGGCCAAAGAAGAGGCCAAAGAAGAGGCCAAAGAAGAGGCCAAAGAAGAGGCCGAATGAGAGGCTAAAGAAGACACGCAAAACAAATGGAAAGTGGTTTTTAATGGAGAAAAGAGAGGAGGAGGGGTCGAGGAGGAATTGTGATCGGAGGGGCGGTTTCAAGGCAGTGGGGGTGTGGCGCTAATCGGCGTCGCGTCGCACGGCAGCTGCTACTGCTGCTTCGGAGAGCGGAGGCAGATAGAGGGCGTTCATCCATCACGCAGGTGCGCTACACTCCGTGTCACCCGCCACAACATTCCCTGACATATAGCATCGACATGTCCGCACTCGGGAGCCTTCTCGCATTCAACAGAAAGGAGAAACATGTCGCTGGACTTGGGTGGGGAAGGGGATTAGATCCAGAATCGTCTCAACACTTCGGAACGAAGATTCGTGGGTTCCAATTTCGTTCCGGGCATCAACTGCCTCTTACTTTTCATACAATTTAGAAGACATAAGCTCTTATGATGATTGCAGATCCTCTAAACACTTTTGACAATATCAAAAATAAGTTTTACTGAGGAACAGGTCACATTTCCCCTGAGAGACGTACAAGGAAAAAGTATAAATATTACAGAAAACCTATTTTTTAAATTAATTATTTAATATATTTTTTGTGTAAGGCATCTGCAACTCTGTGTCCTATATCTTAGAGAAGCGAATACAAAACGTGTTTTGAATTCGAGAAATAGTCTTATTGCCAAGAATTTCTTGAAAGGGCGCAAATAATTGTAGAATATTGTGTCAAGGACTGTTAGCGTATTATGTACCGCTCTCTATTCCATACCATCGCTTTTAAGACAAAAGGTATTTTCTTACTGCTCATTACGTCTGTCTTGCATACCCAATGAGAGTACAACAAGTTAAAGAGAGTGAGAATGGACAACATTTGAAAATTTGCAACGTTTTTAATTTATTTTAACAATTATTTGACAACATGGATTTCTTCCTTAGCTATTTACACTTTCATGACAAGTTAAATCAATTAATGGAACGATTGTCACAGACGTTGCTACTGGACCCCAATATTACTCCGTCCACCTGTCGCAGATAAAAGGAAGCGCTGCTCTTCAGCCTATTTAAATCAAAAGCAGGATAATACAAGTCAGTAGTCCAGAAGCAGTCGACAACACACGCCGCACTAGATAACGCCAAACACGACAACGGCCGAAGTTTCGAAACAGAAGCGATATGAGGCACCGGTCACTCGCAAGATGAGGAAAATGAAGTGTCACACTACCATTAAATGACAAATTGTAATGAAACAAAGAAATCAATAACATCTGCATTTGAAACTTGCTGTGAGACTTTTTAAGTTATGTCGAACGTAGTACAGAAAAAGTATTGCAAAACTAGTAGAAAATGAATTGGCAGAGTAGATGTACAAGTTTAAATAAGGGAAAAAAGTATTGCAATTCCGTAGGAAAAAATGCCAATTTATCGACAGAAAAACACGTTTTGGAGGCTTATATCAAAAGATATAATTTTTCTTGTTCTTATATGGAGTAAATTATCTGTTCGAACTCTGTAAAAAATATTGTGGAACTATAGATCACCATTAGAAATGAGAGATATGGTCTTGGCTTAGCGGCGACTGATATTCTTCTAAATTCTCATAAATTTCAATATGCTTGAGCGCGAACACTGTTCAGATGACGGAAAATACCTAGATGATTTAATTTGTAGAAAATTTGTTGAATCTCATTTCTTAAACAGTTTTCAAATGTACGAATTTTTCAAGTTATGTCTAAAATCTTAGTTTTTTGACAGATTGTGAACATTTTGTTATATCTGTATGTACTCTGAACAATAATGTGGAACAAAATAATTTACAG